TGTACCTGTGACTCTTTTGTCAAGATAAACCAATGGAAAAAGCAATCATTAATTTTGACTGGCCCCTAGATCTGCTGAGGTCTGTAACTGTAAAAGTTTATGTAAACAATGAGATAAATATATTAATTTTGTTTTTCCGAGCCAAGTGAGGTTCCATAGTCATTTAAATGTGCTTTGGTTTAAAAAATAGGGGTGGTTTTTTTTGTGTGTGTGTGTGTGAATTTGGATAGGAGCTATCTTTTAATACAACTTTTTCTAAGTTATCATTATTCTTATTTTTTTTATAATCCACTCTGGGAACTCCAAAAACATTCTGGATCTAAATTGATTAAAGCATAGAGTTAAGCTGTCGGGCCTCTGTAATCTTACCTTTTTTAAAAAAACAAAACAAAACAAAACACAACCTCAAGAGGCTCTTTTCTGTTATCTCAACAACAAAAAAAAGAGTAGCACATTAAAATAAAATTTTTAAAAAAGGAACGAAGAGAAAGAGAAACCGAAACCAGAACCAAGTGTATGTACTTCCCTCCCCACCCAACCTTAGAATTCTTAAAATCTTAAATATGAAACTAGTGTTTTGCTTTTTCCCCCCCATTAATACAGAAAATGTTTTGATACAATACTAGGTCATATAAATGTAGTTTTGAGTGTCCAGACCCTTTAAGCGAGCCTTGAACAGTCCCTGAAGTTTTGAGAATTATTTGATTATTTTTTTCTTTTCATTATTATTGTCACCATCTTGAGGGAGGACGTGGGGAAAAAGGAAGGGGATGGGAGGAAGGGCGTCAAAATTCTATGCTATGGAACACTTCTACACGGCTACTTTTGTCAAAAAAAGGGGTGAAACAATGAAAAAGATATGGGGGGGCGTTCCTTTTTTTTCTCCTCATTTTTGTACAATACTCACGCTGTACACAGACTTTTTGTCGTATTGTTTAAGTGCTGAGAGGGGATGAAAGAAAAAAGCAAGCTTAAGGAAAAAAGAAGAAGAAGAGGAGACCCAATTATCGTGGGTCCTGAAACTTCAAGATTCCCAAACTTCATTCGGAAACCCAACGAAAAGAAGTCCCAAGTCAACTTGAAGTGATCTCCTCCACCCAGCCTCAATACCCCTAAAGTCTTGAATCTCAACTCAACATTTCCAGTAAAACAGAGGCATGGTTTCCTCTTTGCACTTGTTCCACTGTCCTGGGCTCCTCTTTGGATTAACTAAGTGGACCTTTCCTGGATAGCAAAGTAGAAGTACCACGTGGAAGTTGGTAACTCACTTCCATAGGTGGTTGAACCTCCAAAGTTCTGGCTTAGTAACTAATACTTCCTAACGTTCTTCAGCTCAGTTGCCCTAAAGATCAAACAGCACCAGCTGGAAGAGGAAGCATCCCAGAAAGAATGACATGGACCAGCAATGGCCATGATTCTGGAACAAAGACAGTTGGGGGTTGGTGATTTAAGTGTCCTTTTTCTGAAAGGATGGTGAGGTAGGAACAAAATATCATCCTCAACTCTCAACTTTAGACCATACCGTTTGCTAGCCCAAGGCGTGGCTTTTGAAGGCATCTCAAAGAGTCAGAAAAGGACTGGAGATGAAGAGAAGTGGGAGTGCAGTCTGGGGATTTATGTTCTTGAAAATGATGATGCCCGAAGTATCAGGTCAAAAGACAGTCCATTGAGGCTTTCTACTCTCAAACTACTACTCCACAAATGCTGACTTGAGGAGAGGTGGTTTTTTTTTTATTTAACCAGAAGTGAACCATCTACTGAGGTTCCTCTCAAAAGCCAGATGGTGGCTGCAACATCTGAGTCACAGAAATGAGAAATTCTGCACACATCTAGGGCATGGCATGGGGCCTCCCAGCTCATTAAACCTTTGGGGTCTTGGCATAAAGCACTTTTGCTAACAAAACCGCCGCCTTACCACTAGAAGAAACAGCTCCATTGAGGTGCAACTGTCTCCACCTTCAAGAACGGGGGGGATGGAGAGACCCTCAACAATTATTTGGAAATATGAAATGTGTTTCAGTGCTCTGTGCATAAAGTTTAAGAATAAAGGGTTGATGGGGATCTGGGTGGAGGTTTTTTTTGTTGTTGGTGGTGGGGGTGTTGCATTGCCTGAAAAAACAAGGAATGATGTGTCCATTTTGGAAAAAATGGGGGAAAAAAGAGAATGAGGTTTCACAGGAAGATGGCTGTGGGTTGCTGAGGGTGGGGGGGGAGTACAGTTTTCACATTAATGTTCCACAAAAACTAGACACAAATTAGTGACCCGCCAAAAAAAAAAAATATTAAACCGAGCTGCGGCACTACACAAAAATCCCCAAACTTGAGGACGTATGGAATTGAAAAATAGTCCCCAATGAAACGTGAGGTAAATATCCTTAAGAAGGGAAGAAGAGGACAAATTTCCTTGCACAATGGCTCTTGGTTGGTCGTCTGAATGCACAGTGGGCGAAATGGGGAATCTAGGCTTTCTTAACTCAACATGCGTTTGTCTCTATCCTAGTAAGAGGGGAGGAAAAGACTTAATGGGTGGTGGTGGGAATGGAAAAATCCAAGCTTCCCCTTTGTTTTATTTGAACACGCTGACTTTCTTTTTTGGTCTAAACTTAAAGACAAAAATAGGGCTTTGGTGACCCCTACCGTAATAATAATAATAATATTAATCATCATCATCATCATCATAACAATTATAAACAGAACAATGGTTTCAAGCAAGGAAGTTAAAGCAGAGGCAAGGGAAATGTAAACCTTACTCTATTCAGACAGGCTTGATGCTCAAGAGAGAGTCGGGGTTTTTAAACCCACCAGAGTCCACCTGTACGGGTTGGGGTGCAGCCATCGCTTGCCATACCTGGTCGTGCCGACAAAGTTGAGGGCCACCAAACAGCGGGCGGTTTCCTGTCCCTCATCTCCTACACCTATATAGCAGCTGTTGGTGGGGAGATCTTTTTGACAGCGTATGGCTTTCCGTTCTCCTGGCCGCCCCAACCTGAACACGTGGATCCGTGCGTGCCCTTAAGCACGAAGACGGACGGTGGAAGAAGCAACCCACCCAGGTCAGCATCCCACCACACACCCCAAAAAAGGAAGGAAACGAAAGACTTTGGTTGGGTTCTCCACATTCTTATTGCACTCTGGATCCTAGTGGGACCACCAGCTACACCGTTGACTTGTCTTATCTGGCACCTATCTAAGGATGGACAAGCAACGGAGAAATGGCGTTTGCCCCACCACGGCATCCAGGTTCAATAAACAAGGCTACCCAAAAAACTCTTCTAAAAAGGTTTTCTTTGTGGACAGAAACCCCAATGATTTGGTGGCACCACATATCTTCTCCGGACCTCCAGCTTAGAGTCTACTTATCGTCTTTGGCCATGCTTTTGCGTTTCTATCTTTTCAACTGACTTTCTGACGGAAGAATGAGGTGGCAAAAAAAAAAAAAGTCCCTTAACCTTAAGTTTAATTTCTACTTTGTACACTAACTTACCACTGGGGTGGGGGGATAGGTTGGGAGGGTTGGGACAAAACACCACATCTAATTATTTCACTAACCATCTTATTGTTCTTGTGAATTCAAGAGGTAGAAAAGGAAGTGGGGTCCTGCCATCGCGACCCAATTCTTTAGTGAAGGAGGAAAAAGCTAAGTGCGCGCATACACACACCCATGCACGCGTGCAGACAGACAGACACACACACACACGCACGCACCCCAAATAAAAAAAAAATGAAAAGGTACCTAAAGGAACTTGTAGCCATTCCAGCCTACTTCAATTCCCGCTGCCCCGCCCGAGGTCCCTCAAAGCTTTCCGATCCGACAGTTACATCAACATGAACATGTTTTCCTCTTAATAGGACAAGTACCTCTAAGCAAAAGATATTCATACAAAAACTAAGGGTGGGTGGGGTGGGTGGGAAGGAAATTAACACAGATATGACCCCTGCTCGTTTGAAATAAATTCCTGGGAGGGTCACTAGGCCCCCATTCAGTCATGGATAAGGCTAGAGAGATCAAAAGAGGTTGAGAAGGAAAGTTGGACCAGAAGAAGTTCAAGACTAGGGTGTGAAGGTTAAGGCGGACCAGCTCTTCCCTTAGAACTTGATGGAGAAGGGACAGTTGGAAGATGGAAAGCACCACATCAAAATGGAGGGGCGGCAATGGGACTTCCCTCTCTTTCAGCCAATGGAAACGTCCTTTGTGCTCTTCAGGAGACACCACCAACTTCCCCAAGGAAAGAACGAAGAAAGAACAGGCTGGTTTCCATTGGCAAAGAACATCTCCCATTGCAGCTTTGAGGGACGACCATCCACTTAAACCAGATCCAACTTAATCCACCCACCCCCTCAAAACCCCAAAGGATTAAAGAAGCAAAAAAACAAAACAACAGCAAGAAGGCCGTCCATTGGCCACAAAAGGGTGTCCCCGGAGTTGGCCAGAAGAAAGAAAAATAATACTGTGGTGGAAGTTCTATCATAGCAATTCCAAAGTGCTAAGAACGTAAACCGAGGGAGTGAGGGCCGTCCCTTGTTTCCATTACTAAGACCACCTTAGCCCCCCCCTCCCTTCCCGTGGGGCCCTCAAATTTGACTTGGCCTCAACCAGGAAGCACTTCCTAAACCGTCCCTCATTCCCTACAGTGGACATCCTCTGAAGGTCCATGTCAACTCCAGGGGCATTCCTTGCTCCACTTTTGACCCCCTGACAGGCCCTGAGAGAAAAGCTGATACAAAAAGAAGGGGTCTGGAAGTTAAATTGGGGCGGGGGGGTTTTTTTTGGGGGGGGAGAGGGGAGAGACCGGGGGGGGGGGGGAGGAGAAACAGGGAGGAGAAAGAAAGAAGTAAAGCTCTGTTTGGTTGACACTTTCCATGACTGAAGAGGGCGAGACGAATGTCCCGTGTTTTGTATAGTTTGTTTTAAAGCAGCAAGTCTAAGGGATATTTATGGTGGACAGGTGGGTGGGTGGGTGGGTGGGAGGGGCTCAGAGCTCCTTGGAGAGACTTTGGCTTCATGTAGGAGAGGTATGCATTCTCAAGTGGCTGATGAGGTTTCGTTGCTGGGTAAATTTCCCGCCGCAGAGTTGACATTCGTAGGGCTTTTCCCCTGAGTGGACGCGCATGTGCTCGGTCAGCCGGTACTGCCGGGTGAAGCGCATCCCGCACTCCTCGCAGGCAAAGGGCTTGAGTCCCAAGTGGCTGCGCATGTGCCGAGTCATAGTGCCCCGCTGGGTGAACATCTTGCCGCAGATGTTGCACGGAAAGGGGCGCGTCAGCCAGTGAGTCTTCTCGTGCTGCCGGAGAGTGGCCGGATCTTTGTAGCTCTTCTCGCAGACCGAGCACTTGAACGGCCGCGATTCCGAGGCGTAGGGCTGGTTGGGGTTCGATAGATCCTCGGCCTCTTCTTCTTTATCATCAAACGTCCCTTCCTCCTTGATGTACAGCTCTTCTTCCGTGTGTTTCTCCACGTGGGCGTTGAGCTGCTCCGAGCTGGGGAAACCCTTCCCGCACGGGATACAGACGTACAAGTTGTCCCCAAAGGCGACGGGTTCGTAGCCTTCCTGACGGTAGACGTAGTTGGCGCTGCTGTGACCGCCGTTCTCGCTTTCGCTCTGCCCGCTGTCCTCGCTGTTCTCCTTGCCGTTCTCCACGTCTTCTTTGCAGGCGTGCAACGGCGGCTCCGGCCCATAGGGGCTCAAGCCTAGACTGCGCTCCGCGGACTTGCACAAGGGGCCCATCAGGATGCCGTTGGGCAGCCCCTCGCCCTCCTCGCAGCCTTTGCCCCCGCCCTCCTTCCGGTCAAAGGCGCAATCCTTCTTGATCCACTCCTTCTTGCGCGAGGAATGGCGTAGGCTCTTCCGCTGGCTGCCTTCGGGCAGAGACTGGCGGTCTTCGTTCAGATCCGTTTCCATGGGCTCACAGTTGTCTATTAGGGCGGGAGGGGCTCCAGAGGTGGCATCTTCGAACGATGAGGCACTGTTGGCTGTGGGGGCTGAGGCAGGCCGGGGGGAGCCACGCTGACTCTCGCTGTGTGGGGGTTCGTCTTGGGGGGCTGCAGTGGGCAGGGAGGGGCTTTTCTTGGACAGATCCAGCCCAAGTTCCTGGTCCACACAGCTCCCGTTGGTGCTGTTACTCCCCTCTCCCAGGCCCCTACTCAAGGCGTGGGAATTCTCTTGGTTGGAACTGTTCATGAAGACCTCATCACCTGAGACCTTCGCCTTTGGCATCTCCTTCGACTGAGAGCCCTTCATCCCTTCGGTTGACCCTGAATAACGAGTGATGACGGAAGCGGTGGCAAGTCTCTGACTCCGAGGCGGCCGCCCAACGCTGGAGGCTCCACCAGCCCGGCCAGTGAAGGACCTCCCGCTGCGTTTGAGCTTCTTCCTGCAAAGGGCCGCCAGGTCAGGAAGTTGGAGGTAGCTTGCTGCGGTGAGGAGAGCGTTGAAGTTCTGTTCCCCGGGCTGGTCGGTCATTAAGAGCTTCCCAGTATAAATAAAGTCCAAGATTTGCCGGAACACGGTAGGGTTGACCATGTCAGTATCTAAGTTGATCAGGTTGTCGTGCAAGATGAGGGACTTGAAGTACATGCTGCTGGCTGCCAGGATGTTCTTGTGGGCACGGAAGAGGGCATTTTCGACAACAATGATCACGTCGCAAAGGAAACCTTTGGCTCGTTGCTGGTTAAGCTGCAGGAGCAAATGTTTGGCATGATTTGGCAGTTCCATCTCCACCTTGTCTTCCCTTTCCTGGTCACCTGATCACCTAAAAGAGAGGACAGGAAAAGAACCACAACAAACGTGAGTCCATTTCACAACTCCACTGGCATGGAATTACAACCGTTCCTCTCCTAGGTACCCAACGGAGGAAATGGACTTCAATCCCCAGAATTCTCTGATAATGGTTATCCGAGCTAGGAATTCTGGGAGGTAAAGTTCACCTAATCCGGCAGGGACCTAGACTGGGGAACCTGAATTATCTATTGCTTAAGACGGTGATGGCGAACCTTTTAGAGACCGAGTGCCCAAACTGCAATCCCAAACCCACTTATTTATCGCAAAGTGCCAGGGCTGCATCAGCACTGTGATGCCCTCAGGGGTGTGTGGCCCACTGAGTGGGCGTGGCCAACTCAATTTTGCTCTTGGGGGGGACCGGGCAGGGATGGGGGAGATCCAGGGTCTGGCAGGTGTGGCGGTGGGCAGGAGGCTCATCCTGCGGGGTGAGGCGAGACAAGGCCTTGGGGGCCACCAGGCTAGGTGGGGCAGGGGCCGAGGCGGCGGGGGCCAGTCCCTTGCCATCTCCAGGGCATCCCCGGGGGGGGCAACGCCGCTTGCTCTCTCACTTCCTGCCCCCGTCGCTTCCAAACGCCATGTGCTCGCTATTCTGGCAACACTGCTGGGGCGATGGCGCGCGTGCCCACAGAGAGGGCTGTGAGTGCCGCCTCTGGCATGCGTGCCATAGTTTCACCACCACCACCATTGGCTTAAGACAATGCTCAGATCTAACGTATGTAATTCGGGGGTTTTTGGATCCGTCTTCTCCCAGGAACGACCAGTACGTGAAAGCTGTCACCCCTGTGGGTAGCCATAAGATGCTATTGTTTTTTTCCCCTCTTTCTCTTTGCCTTTTCAAGATTAGAAAATTCAATCCAGTGACGGAACTAGAAAGGTGGGTTAACTTTCAAAAGACCCGTGTTCTCCTGAAAAAACAAAACAAAAAACCCACCATAGGACGGTTCCAACTTCACAGGATGACGCTGACGACAATGGGATACAGGTAGTCCTCGACTTACGATCACAACTGAGCCCAAAATTTCTGTTGCTAAGCAAGACGGTTTGTAAGCGAGCTTTGCCCCCTTTTACGACTTTTTCTTGCCACAGTCGTTAACTGAAACCCTGCATTTATTAAGTTAGTCACATCTGGCCTCCCACCATTGATTTTGCTGGCTAGAAGTTTGCAAAAGGGGATCACGTGACCCCGGGACACTGCAACCGTCCTAAGTACATGCCAGTTGCCAAGCATCTGAATTTTGATCACGTGACCCTGGGGACGCTGCAACTGTCACAAATATTAACCAGCTGCCAAAGTGTCCAAATTTGAGGGGGAATGCTGCGACGGTCATAAGTGTGAAAAATGGTCATAAGTCCCTTTTTTTCCAGCACCGTTGTAATGTGGAACGGTCACTAAACGCAGTGCGGTAAGTCGAGGGCTTCCTGTAATCGGTTGTTAAGTTGGCAACGTTCAATTTTGAAGACCGCTGAATCAAAGGAGGGCACTTGGCACATCTTGTGTCTTATTTCTTTCAAGCTAGGATAAAAAAGTCTGCCTCTGTTTTGATTACATCTCTGTGATGGGAAATAACGGGGTGGAAAAATTAAACAGCTTGGAACAGCTGGTCCAGGTCAGAGAACACACACGTCTCTGGAACAAAAGGGCACAAAAAAAAAACATGTCAAATTTAAAAAGGGGAGGAATAATAAAATCGGGACAAGAAGATGAAAAGCGATATGCTCTTTCCAGCCTTAAAAACAGGCAATGTGTGGAAACCAGCTCTCGTCTAATTCATCAAATTGATTTCAAAAACCGGGTCAATCCAATTCAAATCCTTTAATCGATGGTAAATGTAATGTCCAAATTGATTCATCCAAAGGCTTTTTGAGTAGCCAGGTAGAACAATTACCTCCCAGCGCAACCTCAAGCATTCTGACGTAGCTATTGTAGAGCTGCACCACTAAACTTTACACCAGAGGTCCCCAACGCCCGGTCCGTGGACGGGGCTTTGCTTGTTTGCGCGGACCGGTTGCTGGCATGCTGCAGCCCGGTACCGGTCCACAGACCAGGGGTTGGGGACCCCTGTCCTAGAGTTAGAAACAATCGGACAGGGAAAACTTTACTTTTTATAAAGTCTGCAACTGGCACGCTTCATCTTAAGAAGCCTTTCCACTCCTGAGAACGCGAGGGAAAAGGAATCGCCTTTGACTCAACGTTTCTGCAATGCACCAACTTAAGTGTGCGCCACCAAACACACACCGCGGCTTTCTTCTGAAGGTTTTTTTTTTTCTCCCCCACCTACGCAAATCTATGCAGATGGAACTGATCCATCAGCTAAAGAATAACGACATGGGCCATTTGGTAATCGGGGGCACGGCTTTAATATCCACAGCTTACATCAGAATGTGATGCAAGTTCTGCTGGGTTAAATCCCCAAGTGCTTCTTCACCTTTTTCTAATCCCAGCGGGGGGCCGAACGAAAATAGGATACGGGTCTCTTTTCCTAACAACATTCCTTGGGAATGGAGGCAGACTTTTGCCCTCCAAACTCGGATTTTCTATTTAGCTGTACTGTAGCAAATCACTGCTAATCAGACTGTATTGGATCCAAAAGAAATCTGATCTAAAATCAATTTTTTTTTAAGGAGGGGGGAGCTTGTTGGTGGCGAAATATGCCTTCACCAATTAGGCTCCCTCGGAGAAGTTGCATCTAAAAACCCTTTTATATTTGGGAAAGGGTGAAACAACAATAGCAGGCTGCGAGATATATATATGTATATATGTTTTTCAAAATTTGGATTGCTAACAAAGAATTAAGGGAGAACTGGAATAGCCATTTCGAATTTTTTAGTTCTTTTCAACCAGACATACCCTTCTGAGATTCGAACCTGGGCTGTCTGCATGTTAGGCAGATGTATTAACCTCTAGGCCACAAGATAATATGTAATATATGTATATATTTTTAAAAAAACAGCTCGAAGAGATTTATTAAAACCCTAGGAGAAGAAAATGGCCAGATTTCTCCTGGAATTGGAACCTCACCCATCCATCTTAAATGGTCTCAACTGGTGTTCGGCAAGACCTTGGGCATTCTTCTGATAAAGTTATTACTTTGCTCTCTCCCCCCCCCCCAAACAAAAAAAAAAGCTCTAAGGGGCGAAGTAATTAAGAGAAGAGATGAGTCAGCAAAAGCATCGTTTGTGCTGAGGTTACCATCGCAAAAAAAAAAGGGGAAAAAAAAGAAATCCTTCTCTTTTGCAGCACAGGCAAACTGCCAAATCTGAAGGCAGAGATGGCGAAATCTCGCCCACAAAAGGCTGCATGAACAAGAGAGACAGAATCAAGATCGCATGAAGTGTTAATACCACTTTATTAAGCCTTGGTGAGGCCACCCTTGGAATCCTGCACCCAGTTTCGGTGGCCACAATATAAAAAAAGTCGTCGAGACTCTGGAAAGAGTGCAGAGAAGAGCAACAAAGAGGATCAGGGGGCTGGAGGCTAAAACATATAAGGAACGGTTGCTGGAATTGGGGATGTCTAGTCTAATGAAGAGAAGGTCGAGGGAAGACATGATAGCAGTGTTCCAATATCTCAGGGGCTGCCCCAAAGAAGAGGGAGTCAAGCTATTCTCCGAAGCGCCTGAAGGCAGGACAAGAAGCAACGGATGGAAACTAAGCAAGGAGAGAAGCAACCTAGAACTAAGGAGAAATTCCTTGACAGTGAGAACAATTCAGTGGAACGGTCTGTCTCCAGAAGTTCTGGGTGCTCCATCACTGGAGGTTTTTAAGAAGAGACTGGTTGTCTGAAAAGGCTTAATCTGAATCCCACCACCAAGCTCAGAGAGCACCCAGGACCCCATAATCCTCCTCCTCCCTCCGGAAACCCCATTCCCTTCTCACACTGATGATGTTACCTAGTTGGGTCATGAAAGGTCTGCAAGCAAACCACCAAGGTCAAAGAGAACCAAGAGACCCAACAACCCTCTTCCTTCTTCTCCCCCTCCTATCAACACACCCCACTTCCTTCTTCCATTGATGATGTTACCTACTTGGGTCATAAAACATCTGCAAGGAAACAACCAAGCTCCACAATCCTCTTCCTCCTCCTCCTCCCCCTTCCTCCCCTTCTCCTCCTCTCCGCACACCCCACTCCCTTTAGCACGGATGATGTTATCTAGTTGGGTCGTGAAATGTCTGCAAGAAAACCCCCAAGCTCAGAGAGCACCAAGGCGCCCTTGTTTCAACCCTGAGCTGCCAATATTCCCCTTTAAATGTTTCGCACGGCCCTTCCTGCAGCTGCAAAAGTTAGGAGCTGTACCCCCCATAGCGAGAAAAACAGATAAATATTTCGCTTCCTTCCAAAGCTTCAAGCTTCTATTGCCTGCTGAGAGAACTGCTATCTTACAAACATCCTGCTGCAGAGTTATTCCTTTTTTTTTCCAAAATAAAACTTAAAAAATAATAATAATGCCACAGCCTCGTTCACTCCACCTTTGTGACAGCCACAAGCCCTCGCCTACCAGCCAGAGTGGAGTCCGTGCAGCTTATTTCTAAAGAAAAAAAAGAAAAAGAAGAGAAACACAAGTAGTCCTTGACTTACGACCACAATGGAGCCCAACATTTATGTTGCTAGGCGAGGCACTTCTTAAGTGAGCGCCGGCCCATTCATTTTACGACCTTCCTTGCCTCAGTCGCTAAGGGAATCGCTACCGTTGTTAAGTCAGTAACACAGTTGTCCAATGAATCCCCCTTGACTTTGCTTCTCAGCAGGATCGTGTGAGCCCGGGACACTGCAACCGTCGTAAGTACATGCCAGTTGCAAAGCCTCTGAATTTGGATCACGTGACCCCGGGGATGCTGCAACGTCCCCTATGATCACTGTTAAGGGCGAAAGACGGTTCTTAAGTCGCTTTTTTACTCAGTGCCCTCCAAACGGTCACTAAACAAATTGGTCATCA